TGCCCAATAATGCATAATTTCATTTGATAAACACGTTTAGATTGAATGGTAATTTATAATCAGTCACAAGAACGTCGAATCTGAATCACTTGAAAAAAACACGGGGGTGCTTAACTTTTTCCAGGTGTATATTTTCTTTTAATTAAAAATTCTTCTTACAATGAAATCTATCTGAATTTTCAAAAGGTACAAATTTATACAAATATCACATACAAAAATAGTATTTTATTAACAGAAACTGTGTATTTTTTAAAAGCTACTCTGAAGTTTCAGACTATTTCATCCATGTATTTTTTTTTTTTTTTTGCGATGAATAAAACAAACCATATAACAGATGCATCTAATCTGTACATCTGGACATTTGGAAGTTAATGGATTTTACATTTGCTTTTGAAATTAATACAGATTTTATTAAGATATTTTAGTTCTATGTTCAGTTTTTTATTCTGTTTACTTTGTGTGAATACAGTAATTTGTTTATTTCTCGAATATTTAGTTTAACATATCATATTAATAGGATAACCCTGTTGAAAACCTGAACCTCGCTTTCGATGTTGCAGAAAAACACTTGAACATTCCAAAAATGTTAGATGCAGAAGGTTAGTGTAAATGTATTATAATTCTTTCAGTATTAATGTGTTATTTAAAAACAAAAAGTCTTTGAAGACTTGATGACTAGTATGTGTTTGATTGACTGTGCAAATCTTGTACGAGACTAGGTACTGTTCAGACAAGATAAAAAGTATTTGAACCTTTTCATCATTAAACAATCTCTAGTGATTAAAATGTATCTATATTTTGTCAGCAGTACCTTATGATGTTTCTGTTGAACATTTGATTGAAATATTAAATTATTTGTCTTCTATTTTTGTTTTTGTATTTTTTTCTGTTTCAACTCTTCTCATTGTTGCTTTACTACTCCACCTTTTATTTGTGCTTATTTCTACGAAAGCACCGTTGAAAGTTATTTTGTGTAATTTAACGCAAGGAAGAATTGTTTTTTTTTTGCTCCTCGCATCTCATTAAATAAAATAACCTAAACTGAACGTAATTTTGGCTATTAGATACAGATATTTAAAAAAACTTTGAATTACATCCTATTGACAGTTTACTTATGCTACTGTTCTTGTAGATATCTTTTGATTGAATGTTTTGCGTATACTTGAAACTCTTATTGTCCAAACTTTTTGACATAATATTTGAAATAAAAATGTGTATCTCTTGTTTTCTTTGTTGTACCTTTCAATCCTTTCTGTATATTATTAAGACAATTAATACAAGTGTATTTTAAACATTCTTTTTGTTTGTTCCTCACAACTTCTAGTTTCTTTGTTTTTCTTAAAATCACAAACACTTAACTTTTGAGTAATTGATGTAAATGAAGAAATCTAGGTAAGTAGCTTTTTTGACTGTTTCATATTCTAGCAATACCAAAATGGAGATTAAAACAGTAGAACTACTAAAATGGAGATTAAAACAGGTTTTATTTCTTCTTCAGAGTTAGTGGGTGCCAGCACTCACAGCTGATGAAATTCAAACTGCCATGCTTCAACAGGTAACAAAAACTATGCATGGTGAAGAAAAAGCACTAACAAGCATAAAAAAGTGTGTTATGAAACGAAAACAAATAATGTGTCTGCTCAGAAGGTTTTAGTGATATAAGGTGTACTGTGAATGATTGTAGCTATTATAAGGATTTGTATTTTGACAAGTGTTTGTACTTAATAACATTTTTGTTGATGTTTTTGTTCGTACCATTTATTACTTTAACGTAAGAAGTAGTCATCTCTATCTGATAGTGCATGACACAATGAAAAATAGTTTAGTTTACTTAAAATAACATTAGTAGTTGTTACTCTTAGTTCAACTTTGGGTAATAAAACAGTACATGTGTATAAAGCTTTAACTGTTTATTATATGAATGAATGAAATCTTTTATAAAATGTGAATGGTTGAAAATAGATTGTCATTTATCAAACCAACCTGAGCCTTCCATTATAAGAAGATGTTATTCAGATTTATTATTGTCCTATTACCATGCTAAATTGGTTTCTAACTTTTCTGTAAAGTTGTGGTACTGAATGCTTTTCTAACGTTACTGTGAAGCTACAGTACTGGATGCTTTTCTAATGTTACTGTGAAGCTACAGTACTGACTGCTTTTCTAACGGTACTGTGAAGATACAGTACTGGCTGCTTTTCTAATGTTACTGTGAAGATACAGTACTGGATGCTTTTCTAACTTTACTGTGAAACTACAGTACTGGCTGCTTTTCTAACGGTACTGTGAAACTACAGTACTGGCTGCTTTTCTAACAGTACTGTGAAACTACAGTACTGGCTGCTTTTCTAACGGTACTGTGAAACTACAGTACTGGCTGCTTTTCTAACGGTACTGTGAAACTACAGTACTGGCTGCTTTTCTAACTTTACTGTGAAACTACAGTACTGACTGCTTTTCTAACGGTACTGTGAAGCTACAGTACTGGATGCTTTTTTATTGTTACTGTGAAGCTACAGTACTGGATGCTTTTTTATTGTTACTGTGAAGCTACAGTACTGGATGCTTTTCTAATGTTACTGTGAAGATACAGTACTGGATGCTTTTCTAACTTTACTGTGAAACTACAGTACTGGATGCTTTTCTAACTTTACTGTGAAACTACAGTACTGGCTGCTTTTCTAACGGTACCGTGAAACTACAGTACTGGCTGCTTTTCTAACAGTACTGTAAAACTACAGTACTGGCTGCTTTTCTAACAGTACTGTAAAACTACAGTACTGGCTGCTTTTCTAACGGTACTGTAAAACTACAGTACTGGCTACTTTTCTAACGGTACTGTGAAACTACAGTACTGGCTGCTTTTCTAATGTTACTGTGAAACTACAGTACTGGCTACTGTGCACGTATACAAAGAATAGTGTTAAGTACTTGAAATCTAAATTGCCACAATTCTGTACTTTTCTCCGTGATTAGTCATAATGGTTTTCCAAAATGAAGCTTAATAAACATTTCTGCAATAGTGTTTAAAACTTTTTTTGGGGGGGGGGGTTGCTAGAAATGTTATTGGAAAAAGTAGATGGTTAAACTGAATGTGTGAACACAGTATGTAACTTTCATAATAAAAACATTAGTCCAAAGGTTTAGACTCAAAAGAAATGTAGAATTTTAAATTTGGGTGAAAAATTAACAAAAATAACAAACTTCACCCAGATTCATAATATTGTAATCATGAATTTTGAGCATTGACAATTTTCATGCTGAATGTCTTGTTACTTACCGTACATAATATGTTCGTAATTATAATTTGAAGATGGAGATTTTTATCATGCTGTTTCCTGTTTTTTTTTTAAATATATATAGTTGTCATTATCTATTTAATAATTCAGAGGCTCTGTCTTTTAATATAAGTTAAAACTTTTGTTTATGTGTGTGTGATATATTTACAGTAAATAGATGGCGTTAGTTTGATATATATATATATATATATATCTAAGCCTATTTTTCACTTATTTCCCTTAATTGTCTCATACAGTTTGTTTACTAACAGTTGCATTGTTGTTGTTTTTTGTCTCAGATCTCAACACCACTGCTATGCCAGATGAAAGAGCAGTCATGACATATGTTTCTTCATATTATCATACTTTCTCTGGAGCTCAGCAAGTAAGTTAATCTTTTGATAATTGTAAACATTCGTTAAATTTTATTTAATAAAATGTAAGAAGACGATGAATGAAAAATTTTCTGTAGGACTTTACAACTGATTGTGTTTGAGATGAAATAATCCTCCTGTTTTTATATTAAGACTAATAAAGATGTTATACTTATTCTAGACACTTGAACGTCTTATTATATTTCAGGCAGAGACAGCATCAAATCGTATCTGTAAAGTGTTGAAAGTGAACCAAGAAAATGAGAGGTTAATGGACGAATATGAGAGATTAGTCAGTGATGTAAGTATTGAAAAGATTGTAATTTACAACAAACTATACATGCGTACTCTAATTAAAGAACACAAATTTTCAAAACACCAAAGTTAACAAAACATGATTTGGATATGATATCTTACCTCCTCTCATAAAATAGCTTTCTTCGATTTGTACTGCCCTCTATAAGTAAAAATGTTTGCTCGCCACTAGCCTTTATGGTCCCTCCTACCTCCATATGGTATAGCTGCATTGTAGCATGCAAGTAAGTATGCATTAGGAGTACAACAAGCCCTCTTAATGCAGCTGACTCCCTCTCTGCAGTAGAACCTAATCTTCACTTCTCAATTTGGCATGACAATGATCAGATATCTCGCTTGTTGCTTGGTTAATTTGGGGTTCAATTGATTTTTGAATTTGTGACTTTGCCTTCATTTTCCACCTTTAGAAAATTGTTTTTTAATTTGAATTGCCCCCCAGTGGCACAGCGGTATGTCTGCGGACTTACAACACCAGAGACCGGGTTTCGATACCCATGGTGGGCAGAGCACAGATAGCCCATTGTGTAGCTTTGTGCTTAACTTCAAAACAAACAAACAAATAATTTGAAATATTTTAAATTCTGTTTATTATCTTTTTTGTGTGGTTTTGTAACTGCTTCCTGTTGACTTCATTTATTTTCAATGGAGTGTTATTACACTTAGGTAAATTAACTCTTTGACTACAGTCTGGGTGGATTCCACCCAGCCCATACCCACCAAAGTAACCATAAAGTAATTATACCATTACTTTTTAAAATGTATGTATATCTTCATGACATTTTGCAGTTTATCAGTAAACATTAAACAGTAACATTAATCTATATATATTTATTGTTTTTATTTTATTGACCTTTCAACCATGTCTGACTAACATTACAGAAGTTGCATGAGGTCGTGCAGCTTTATGTTATTGTATCTAATAACATAAAATGGCCTTTACAAAGTGCAACTGTTTTGGCTTTGTTTTAATGGACGAGTATTTTGTAGAATACAATTGTATTATATATGTATGTATTTTATTACTACATACAAATAAATTCTTAAATTTCAATTAGTTTTCTTAAAACATAGAACAGTAAATAAAGAAATACAGAAAACAATCTCTTCTACTTACGAAATTTGTACTTGCTTTTCATAATTTGCTAAGCCTTTTTGAATTTTGCATGTGGAGTATGTAAAACAAAATAATTTTTTAGGTTTTATGTTTGCATTTTGAAATAAGAAAAAAATAATAAATTATTATATCAGTACCACAGGATTCCACTGTAATTTATCAGGCTTACTAACTAAGCTGTATTTGGGTCTAAAAAAATATAATTTTTCAATCACCGTTTTGTTTTACCTCTTCTTTGCAATATACAGTGAAAAAGATGGTTTTTCCTATGCGAACATTTTGCTGTGCTTTCGATTGGTTATAAACACTTCATAGAGACAAGTAGTCATACTTAAACAAGCATTTCCAAAAATGAAAGAGATGGTCAGGACCACCGTGTTTGATATGCTAAATATAATAATATCTCAGAAAATAGAAAAGATAGGAGGTTCTTATTTTATATTCTTTCTTGTCAATATCAGTAATTTGAGTTTTTATTTCATAAGAAACTATAGACTTTGTACTTGGACATCACAAACATCTAATTTAAACCAAAGCTGCGTTCAATATACCACGTGACACACAAAAATTGATATTTTAGAATTTTGTTTTAATACTTATTTTTAAATTATGAAATTAACTAATATATAATACTAAAATTTTAATTATAATCTACAAATTGATACCAAACTTATTGACATACATTCATAAAATAGTAGTTCAATAAAATTTTGAATGTAAGTCTACAAACGTGATGACATGCCCTCTGACCCAAACCGTAGGAAAACCTGTAATGATAAGGTTAACGTGAATTTACAGTTTCAAATCACAACTACTACTGTTTCAGACACTACTGATGAACCAACAGCTTATCATGATGGCTTGAGATTTTATGTTATTGGCTGAGAAAGCTTTGGCTCTTGTCTGCCAGGAGATGTTTTCCTTCATGTGGCCATGGGTCTCATGAACATCAGCCACTTCTCTCCTTCTCAGGGGAGCCAAAACAGGATGATGAGAATTTGGATGGCCTTTTCCCTCCATCTTTTTTATCGTGCAGTCTCATTCTGAAACCATGGAAGTGCCACGACTTTTCACCTTTTCTGGAGTTAGTATTACAGGTATGTTGTGTTTTGTCTCCTATGTTCTATGACCCATTATCTTCTTTATTGACGTGTGACCATTTCCTCCTCCTGTCCACATTGGCACACTTGTCCTTCTCCACTTTTCTTCCAGACATGGCTTCTTTGTTGTTGAGACCTCTTATTAGGGACGCTTTTTTAACTTGTGCATCTTCCCCTCATGTTTGTAAAATCTATGCAAGTCCCCTTTTTTGAGGGGGTTCTTCCTGACTCATTGGAGTCATGAGTGGATTCTACCACTTTACATACTTCCCTCTCCTCCCTGGCCACACATTTGTCACAATCTTCCCCACCCTCCTTCATCTCCCTTACCTGTTCCTTCACAGTGTACACTTGTTTACTCCTGTCCACATTGGCACACTTGTCCTTCTTCTGCCCTTTCACTCCATGCATGGCTCCTGAGATCTCTTAGGTAGTGATGCTCTTTTAACTCGTTCGTCTCTTCCCTCATCTTTGCGAAATCTACGCAAGGCCCCCTTTTTAGAGTAAATTGCTTTTGGGGAGGTTCCTGACTTATTGGAGTCATGACTGAAATATGTCATTTGCAAACTTCCCTCTCCTCTCTGGCCACACACATTTGTCACAATTTCCCCATCTTCTTCTTTCTTACCTGTTCCTTCCTCACGGGTTGCTCCTTCACTGCATATACTTGTTTACTGCTGACCCACATGCTGCCAATGATACTGGTGATTTTCCCATGGGATTGGGTCCCGTAAGGGCTAGACTGCTTCTTTTTGCAGATTTTGGGAGACGTTTACCACAAACTGATGGGTTTGTTTGGGTCTTATCAGAAAGACTCTCCCTTCATTTTCTTTCTCCACCTCCCCTATCACCTTTTCCTATTCCCTTCACCCTTTCCAGCCAGCATCTTTCTGCTGTGATTCAATACCTTCACCTCCTGGGTGCTATAGAACCAGTTTTTCATACTCTTCCAGGTTTCTATTCCTGTCTTCTTGTAATCCCTAATAAAACTGGGGATTTTCATCCTGTTATCAATCTCTCTTGTCTGAACTGCTATATGGAAGTTCCTTGGCTTACCATGGAGTCTTTCCTTTCTCTTCAGTAGGCTTTTATTTCAGGTCTTTGGATGTCAAAGATCAATGTCCAATGCTTACCTTTATATCCCCATTTGCACTGCAACCCAACATTCTCTTTGTTTTGTCCATGGTGAATGTGTATATCGGTTCCAAGCTCTCCCTTTTGGGTTGACCTCAGCTCCCTACATATTTTCTCAGGTGGTCCAGGCATTTGCCAACTTCTTCATTTGCATGGACTTTGTTTCCATCACTACATGGATGACTGGTTTCTTCGCTTTCAGCTTCTTCCATCAATGCACAGTTTCTCCTCAGGGAAGCTGCTCGGGTGGGTTGGCTGATCAAGGTAGAGAAGTCTGTTTTCACATGGACTTAATACATCATTCATCTTGGGGTATTCTTCAATTACCTTCTCCCCTCCGACTGTGTTCCTTGGAGTTTATCATTCAGAAGGATCAATCCACACTTTTCCTACCTGCATGAGAGGTTCTTTTTCTTTTTGGGGACTTCCTTGGAGGCCCTTATTCCCCTTGGTTGTGCCCACATGAGTTCTCTTCAAGGGATACTTCATGATCAATGGGAGCTCAACAGTCCAGTCCATTGTAAGAGGTTCTGAACTTTCCACCCGGGTAGTGTCCCTTCTTTTCCACTCTGTCTGCCCTGCTTCCATTTCAGTGTACCAGCATCAGTGTCATATTTTTTGCCATTGATCTCTGTCAGGAGTTCATCCCTTATCCAAATTTTACATGGCTTTTTATAATGGTCTTTCTGTTTCTACCATTGCTGGTTATAGTGCAGTGTTATCCTCTACCTTTCATTTTTCCCATTTCTGCCATGTATTTTCATGTCCTATAATTTCCCTCTTGTTTTGTTCTTAATGTTGTCCTACATGCCTTTTAACCACTGGCTTCCTGTTTCTTATATCACCTATCATTAAACCTTTCTTCCTCCTCCTGTTGGCCTGTGGATGTTGATGGCCAGGTGTGTTCTCACTTGATGTCTCTCATAACCTTTACCACACAACTGATGTTCTCCTCTATCCTGTTTGTACCTTCCTCCTTAAAACCTCTACTGCACGTGAAGGTAATGTTGCCTCCACTCCTATTTCCCTTCCTTTGATTTCCCATCTATATATCCATACTGATCCCAACTGTCTCCTATGTTCAGTTTGGGATCTACACAATTCCCTTCCATTGTTCCCATTCCAGATTGTTTATACACTAAAATCCTTCAGTTTCCCATGACCTTCTCCTCTTATCCTAACTGGATAAGTTTGAAAAATTACACATATGACCTGTTCCTCCTTGTCTTCTGACTCCCTTTCCTCACATCAGATTTGCCTTCTCACAATGTCTAGCTGCTTGTCTTCCTTGTCCTTTGGAGGAGATTGTCCTGGCTGACATGTAGGACCACTTCTCATACTTTTTTTTTACATTATATACAGTGTCTGGCAGTTTCCTTCGTGGCCAGATATCGTCTACCTCTTGTCACCATCCTTCACTCATTGGTTCATCTGTGAGTGGATATGAGTTTTTTCCTTATATATATTTTTCTCTTACAGGGGCCTCTTTAAACTTCCTTTGGAATCCTGTTGTGTGGTGAATGATGCCTGTTCAGTTATACTTATTCTTAAATCCACACTGTATGACCATTAAAGTTGCTAATGTTCACTGTTGAGATGGAGTGTTCTGCAAGACTACTTGTAGGTTCATCCTCGTAGTGTCTTGCTTTATAAATATGTTCATCCTGAACAGTCCACTCATGGACTAACATGAATAAAGCAGAAGGGGATTGCTGCCCATCCCTGCCATTCCCTTGATTTTATAAATTGATTATGGTCTGCTTATCAGAATATGGTTTCACTGTCATCCATTGCAATTCCTCCAGTGCTGCATTCTTCCTGACTCTCCAAAACATCTCTTTCCCCCCTCTTCTAGTGGAGTACAGGAGTCATTACCACTTACCAGCTTCTAGCCACTAAGTAGGGTGGTAATATTCTGTCGGTGTATGTGGTGTGACTGTCCTTCTACTGCAGATCTGATGTATGATTCCAGATATTTTATCGTGTGGACTGGAATTTTTCCATCACATTCCAATATGCAGTTCACCCTTTGGCTGGGAGCCCTCCTTTCTTCCTCCACCTGGATGTTGGTTCCCGGGCAACTGGTGTTGGTTGGAGCCAGACCAGTCAACATAAGTCCTCACATGTGAGTGGGCTGAGACCTTCCTCCTGCTGAGTACTGGACGATACATTCCCAATGGTGCATGAATTTGGACTGGAGTTGTCCCTCCATGTTGCATTTCCACCTTCCTACCATCATTCAGATGTCCATTCCCAGAGGATACATATGTTGGTCATGTTAGATATGCACATATGATGACTTGTGTTTTTGGTACAGGGGTGAATGGTAGAGGACCCTCCTCCTACTGTGAGCTCATTGATCCAGTCTCAGTGCTGCTGGTTTTGGACTGGAGTTAACCTCTGATTTATGTTCCGATGTGTCCTAGCCACTTTACACCAAAGGGACTTTTATCTTTTCGATTGTGCCTCTTTTCTGCCCATTTCATGACACATTCATCCATCAAGGGTTCAGATGTTGTGCAGTTTCACACAAGTGTTTCTTCTTCATTGAGATGGCACACTCCTTGCATGCTCTTCAGATGCTTTCTGAAGAGGACTGTTGTAGGTAACGTTTACACCATTCAGTGTGGGATTCTAGCTATTTTGTGAGAGGAGATATCATATTGGAAATTAATATTTTCATACATTGAAAATATATTTCTGATAGATACTTACTTCTATTCACACTTCCCACTTGTGGTGTGTTTTTCCATATTTAATCTCGAAGTGAAGAATGGGTTCCACTGCATAGAGGAAGTCAGCTGTGCTAGGATGGTATGTAACACTCCTATTGGTGGAGGGCTGTTGCATGGCTATTTACATGCTACAATGCAACTATACCACATGGAAAACACATAGAGGTAGGTGGGAGTATAAAGGCTAATGGAGAATAAAGATTTGTGCATATAGAGGGCAGTACAAATTGAGGAAAGCAATTTTGTGAGAGGAGGTAAGTATCTATCAGTAAGTATCTATCTTTCAGTGGAGGAAAATATTAACTTTATTATTTCACTGTGAAATATACATTCTTATGTTAAAAATCACAAAACTTAGAAATGATTTGAAACACCAAAATTGGAATCATGGCTATTCCTACATGGATAAATTGATTAAAGATCACAGAATTTTGAAGTTATTTAAAACCATGAATAATAAACCTTAATACATTTTAGGGTAACAGATTTGCAGCATCACAATAAAGAAATGTTTATAAAAGCTTGTTACTTTCACAATACGTAGATGTTTAGTAAGGAAAGTTCAAGTTCTTTTTTGTCTCGTAGAAACCGTTACCTGCTAGGCTTCAAGCGTATTAACACACAGAGGTTTTTAGTCCATCATGGTTACAACATTTACATTTTTAGTACTTGTATGAGAAACCTTAAAACATTTTTTGTGGTTTAAGAGTGTTATATTGAAATGATAAAATACGTAGACAGCAACAGAGTACGTCACTTTGGTCAGTTTAATTTAATTCACAGAAATGCACATTTTGATAAATATTTAAAAATGTGTGGATCCTTGCAATTATTTATTAATTTTTCTTTTGTCAAACACATTTCAATATTTAAGAACTAGGAACCTAAAAAAGGTTTAACGTGTCAAATTGTACTGTCTGCTCAAACTTTATAGTTCATAGCACATCATATCATTTTAGCACAACAATATAAGAATTATTACCTTTAAGGCTTTGATTAATTTCAATATTCTTCTTAAAAATAGGAGCCATTACTGTGTAATTGTATTTCATCAACTGACAAGAATATTTGTTATTTTGGTGATAAGTCATTTGTAGATTATTTTAGGATTCAGTAGCCATTAGTTGAACATCAGGCACAGTTTAATTGCTGAAGAAATGTATAATAGAAACGTTTTTTATTTTATTTTTTGTATCTCAGTTGCTGGAATGGATTCAAAAAACGACTCCTTGGCTTGAAAACAGAACAACGGACAACACTTTAAGTGGTGTTCAAGACAACTTAGAAGAGTTTCGAAAGTACAGGAGGGTGGTCAAGCCTCCTAGAGTAGAACAGAAAGCCAAACTGGAGACAAACTTCAACACGCTTCAGACTAAACTAAGACTAAGTAACCGGCCAGCATATCTTCCTAGTGAAGGCAAGATGGTGTCTGTAAGTAGAAATCTTTACATCTTGTAATGTTGTTTGGTTCACTTATCTCATTGTCTTGGATAAAGTTAAGAACAAAGTCTCCTTGTAATATTTGTAATATTGACATCAAGGATACTAGTATTAGTGATTTATACTTGTAATATCAACATGAAAGATACTAGTATTAGTGATCTATACTTGTAACATCAATATGAAAGATACTAGTATTAGTGATCTATACTTGTAACATCAACATGAAAGATACTAGTATTAATGATCTATACTTGTAACATCAACATGAAGAATACTAGTATTAATGATCTATACTTGTAACATCAACATGAAGGATACTAGTATTAATGATATTTACTTGTAACATCAACATGAAGGATACTAGTATTAATGATCTATACTTGTAACAACAACATGAAAGATACTAGTATTGGTGATTTATACTTGTAACATCAACATGAAAGATACCAGTATTAATGATATAAAATGAACAACATGCTTGTTTCCACTTACATATACTTTGAACTAGATAATGTTTTAGTTTTTATAACTAGATAGGCCATGTTTCCCCAGGATGTGTTGCTGTTGAGTGTGTGTGTGTATGTGTGTGTGCCACAAAATATTCCAGTGTTGTAAAAAGAAATATTTCCAATGAAGTATGTGAGAATAACAATTTCAGTGCAATGACTGGCTAGTGAAATTCAGTCCAAAGCTATATTGTCTTTGTGCTGTACAGTAGGTTTGAATTTATCCACACTTTACTATGAATGCTGTAACTAGAGATGTGAAACTCTTTTTTTAAGTAGATTCAGACAGAGGCATTGCTATGTACTTAAACAGTTAGGGGCTCAGGCCCATAGGCATGGGAATTTTTGGTGTTTCAGGATGATATCAATAATGGTTTTCTGTTATGATTTGTCAGGACAACCAATTAGGAATTCGGGGTATTGTCAAATAGAATCAGGGCACGGACCCCGTGTGACAGTGCTTAGTGATACCTCTGGTTTCAGAGGTTTCTTAGTGGAGGGGGAAGATGGATCCTGTTGCTAAATGTTACGTTAACAAGTTGTCTTTATCAATTATTATTTCTAGTGTAACCTTGCCTCCATGAGAGGTACTAGATTAAATACATTGGAACCACAATGGCAGAGAGTACTTAGCTGACAAATTTATGTATTACTTTATTGCTACAGGCTTAATGATATTTTAGAATAAGGTAGATAGAGACCACTGGCATAATCTTAGCATATTAGATATAGATTGTGTAGAAGTTCCATTTTCTATTAACATTTCTCGGTCTCTAAACAGTTTCAGACTATGTTTCAAAGCAAGTCATCAGGAAGAGAAGGTAGCATAGTGCTTAAAGGCCTGAAAACTATCAGTGAAGTTCAAACATGATTTGCCGGTCAACTTGAGATTCTAAAGTATTATGAATACTTTCTTCATGCTTTTTTTTTTCTTGTTATGTTTCGATGAAACACAAATTGTATCCAATTGACAAATTTTCTAAGATATGTACTTTTGCTTAGGACATTGCCAGTGCATGGAAAATACTAGAAACAGCTGAGAAAGGATTTGAAGAATGGCTTTTGTCTGAGATGTTGAGGTAACCATCTTTAACTTTCTACTAAAGATATTGTTTAATTACATACAGCTGAGGTAACCGTCTTTAATTATCTACTAAAGATATTGTTTAATTACATACAGTTGAGGTAACCATCTTTAACTATCTACCTAAGATATTGTTTAATTACATACAGTTGAGGTAACCATCTTTAACTATCTACTAAAGATATTGTTTAATTACATACAGTTGAGGTAACCATCTTTAACTATCTACTAAAGATATTGTTTAATTACATACAGTTGAGGTAACTGTCTTTAACTGTCTACTAAAGATATTGTTTAATTACATACAGTTGAGGTAACTATCTACCTAAGATATTGTTTAATTACATACAGTTGAGGTAACCGTCTTTAACTATCTACTAAAGATATTGTTTAATTACATACAGCTGAGGTAACCATCTTTAACTATCTACTAAAGATATTGTTTAATTACATACAGCTGAGGTAACCATCTTTAACTATCTACTAAAGATATTGTTTAATTACATACAGCTGAGGTAACCGTCTTTAACTATCTACTACATGATATCCTATTTAATTAAATGTGAGATGATACTGAATTGTAATCTTTTAGTTGTTCAAAACACTTAAGTAGAAACAAAAAGTGCCAAAATGTAAAATATTCTAAGGATTTTCAAATGTTGTAAAAATGAATTACCACATTTTTTCTATAACATGTGTAAATATGTATGTTTCCTTGCTTCTAATGTGGACCTGAAACCTTTCATATGCCAGATGAGTGCTCTGCCAACTGAGCTAACCCTACTAGTGCTTACTTGTAGGTCACTTTTAAAAAATTCAAACTACTACATAAATAATGAAGATTGATGAAATCTAAAGATGAATTTAAAATGACATCATAGTTTTATTTTGACTACTTGTTTTGAGATGTTGAAATTATAACCAACTAGAAATTTGTTTATTTTAGATCAATAAAACAATGTGGTAAGCTGAATGAGTTAAAACTGGATGGATATTTGTTTTTGTTGGCATGCCACAATGTGACTTGTATTATTTATACTTCAGACTGCAACGACTGGATCATCTGGCCCAAAAATTTCAACACAAGGCTGACAACCATGAAGAGTGGACACGAGGAAAGGAGGAAATGCTAGAAAGTCAAGATTTTCGAAACTGTCGACTGAATGAAGTCAAAGTAAGTGAAGTTTGTAAATCAGCTTTGTTTAAATCGTGTGACAGGTTTCTGATAATAAATATACTAGGTAGGAAGTAAGGTTTCGTGACAAAAAAGGACTTTTTACTACTGACTATCTATTGTCGTTGAAGTGTTACTTCTGTGACAAAACGCTACCTTTTTACTGTTGACTATCTGTTGTCGTTGAAATGTTACTTCTGGGACAAAACACTACCTTTTTACTGTTGACTATCTATTGTCATTGAAGTGTTACTTCTGTGACAAAACGCTACCTTTTTACTGTTGACTATCTGTTGTCGTTGAAGTGTTACGTCTATGACAAAACACTACCTTTTTACTGTTGACTATCTATTGTCGTTGAAATGTTACTTCTGGGACAAAACACCACCTTTCTACTGTTGACTATCTATTGTCATTGAAGTGTTACTTCTATGACAGAACACTACCTTTTTCACTGTTGACTATCTATTGTCGTTGAAGTGTTACTTCTATGACAAAACACTACCTTTTTACTGTTGACTATTTATTTTCATTGAAGTGTTACTTCTGGGACAGCACGCTACCTTTTTACTCTTGACTATCTGTTGTTGTTGAAATGTTACTTCTGGGACAAAACACTACCTTTTTACTGTTGACTATCTGTTGTCGTTGAAATGTTACTTCTGGGACAAAACACTACCTTTTTACTGTTGACTATCTGTTGTCGTTGAAATGTTACTTCTGTGACAAAACACTACCTTTTTACTCTTGACTATCTATTGTCGTTGAAATGTTACTTCTGGGACAAAACACTACCTTTTTACTGTTGACTATCTATTGTCATTGAAGTGTTACTTCTATGACAGAACACTACCTTTTTCACTGTTGACTATATATTGTCGTTGAAGTGTTACTTCTATGACAAAACACTACCTTTTTACTGTTGACTATTTATTTTCATTGAAGTGTTACTTCTGGGACAGAACACTACCTTTTTACTGTTGACTATCTGTTGTCGTTGAAATGTTACTTCTGGGACAAAACACTACCTTTTTACTGTTGACTATCTATTGTCATTGAAGTGTTACTTCTATGACAGAACACTACCTTTTTACTGTTGACCATCTATTGTCGTTGAAATGTTACTTCTGGGACAAAACACTACCTTTTTACTGTTGACTATCTGTTGTCGTTGAAGTGTTACTTCTGTGACAAAACACTACCTTCTTACTGTTGACTATCTATTGTCGTTAAAGTGTTACTTCTGTGACAAAACACTACCTTTTTACTGTTGACTATCTATTGTCGTTAAAGTGTTACTTCTGTGACAAAACACTACCTTTTTACTGTTGACTATCTATTGTCGTTAAAGTGTTACTTCTGTGACAAAACACTATCTTCTTACTGTTGACTATCTATTGTCGTTAAAGTGTTACTTCTGTGAGAAAACACTACCTTTTTCACTGTTGACTATTGATTGTTGTTGAAGTGTTACTTCTGTGAGAAAACACTACCTTTTTACTGTTGCCTATCTATTGCCATTGAACTGTTACACATGTAAGAAAACAGTATTTTTTATTAATTGCTAAAAACTTGTTTCTATGAATAATCAGTATATTTTACAATAGTAAATTGTACGAGTTCAGTCTGTTATTTTTTGTAGAAATAGTGGTCTCTTTCTGTCATCTGGGAAGAGAAAGTGTAAAGGCAAGAAATAAAAAGTAAATTATGATTTAACTTGGTGAAATTGATGTTGAAAATGAACGAATAATTGTAAACGTTAGAAATAGTTAAACATAACAACACGCATCCAATATTTACGCAAACAAGCTATGAAATCTTTACAAACACAAGTTAATAACATAATGAAAATATATATGTGAAGTTCAAATTTAGTTCTGTCACTTCTTTCCTGCTCATATTTATCTTGATGCTGTTATTGTAGAGATAAAGTGTTGTTTAAGATAATTTATTATTTCTTTTTTTAATAATGAAAAGGTTAATTAAGAACAAAAGTTGAATATATGTAATCTTGGTAGTTTTGTGAGCAGTGTGTGAAAAGTAAATGTTTATTATCTGTTGGTTATGGCTCTAATCAAATAATTGTACTTGGTGTGAATTCACCCACTGTAGGCTTTGAAAAAGAAACATGAAGCTTTCGAAAGTGATCTAGCTGCTCACCAAGATAGAGTGGAACAAATAGCAGCTATTGCTCAGGAGCTAAAGTAAGTTTTTATTTTCAAACACAGAAATTACATTTTGTTATCTGTGAATTAGACATTACTGTCTAAAACATTGGAAAAAAAACAATCTTTATTTGATGTATAGATACTGTATATATATACAATAGAGTAAGTACTTTTGTAGTGCTAACTAAGTAAGTGAATAGTATGATTGATTAACACGCGCGGTTGCGCACATAACACCAATAAAGTAAGTCAAGATTTAGGTTGAATTGACTGAGCCCGTAATAAGAGAGTTATTCTTGGTCGTATTTAGCCTTACTGCTGCCTGGTGTCCTAAACTAATCTTATTAGAGCAGGAAACGTTACAGAAACATGCTTCCGCACAAACACTAAAATTAAATCAGGTATTCTTTATAGGTATGCCTAGTTCAGTGTTCATTTCCATTCTGTTGTTTTAGTGCTTTGGATTACCATGATTTACCTACCATTAACAACCGATGTCAACAAATATGTGATCAGTGGAACCGCCTAGGAACCTTGACTCAAAAACGACATTTTGACCTTGAGGTAAATATCTTTACCGTCAGATTTCTGTAAGGCTTGAATTAAAGTTATGGTGGATTATGTTTTTAGTCTATATATTTCAAAAAAAGGTTTTTTCGTTTTCTATGTTTCATGTAATACATGGACTATATAATCAAATTATTATTGTTTTCAAACAATTAAGTTGTAACATTTTTAACATGTTCTAATTGATGATTATAAGATAAAAAACTACATCAGTTTTTGAATATTAATTATTAAAATATTTTCTCTTGTCTAGTTTTAATTGTCTTGCAGTAGTATTTTTTCTGAGTAATTGATTTTTTTCTTTTGTAGTTTTTATGAACTTGGAAAATTCTCTAACATGACTGTTTTGTTTTTGATATTTCGATTTTGTAGATTGATTAATGTAGGTGTTAATGTTTTATGGTATTTTAGTCCTTATGTCTGTTTTTGTTTATCATACTTACATTTTAAATTCATAGAAAGAATGACAGTGTTGTTATTATTACATTCTATATATGTTTTAGTCCTAATGTATGTTTGTTTGTCAATATTTAGGTTTTTTAAATGACTAACAAGGTGATGTATAGATCATGACATTGTGTATGTTTTAGTCCTAATGTTTGTTTGTTTGTCAGTATTTAGGTTTTTTTAAATGACTAACAAGGTGATGATGTATAGATCATAACATTGTGTATGTTTTAGTCCTAATGTTTGTTTGTCAATATTTAGATTTTTTAAATGACTAACAAGGTGATGATGTATAGATCATGACATTCTGTGTATGTTTTAGTCCTAATGTTTGTTTGTTTGTCAATATTTAGGTTTTTAAATGACTAACAAGGTGATGTATAGATCATGACATTGTGTATGTTTTAGTCCTAATGTTTGTTTGTTTGTCAATATTTAGGTTTTTTAAATGACTAAAAAGGTGATGATGTATAGATCATGACATTCTGTGAAAATTTTAGTCTCACACCTGTGTTTTTGTTTCAACTATAGGAAGCAGAAACAGTTCTGGAGAAAATAGATCAACTACACCTTGAATTTGCCAAAAGAGCAGCTGTTAGTATCGTTTCTATTAGCTCTTGATAATTACTTTTTTTGGTTTTCTTTGATTCAAATATGCTGTGATGCTGACTATAATATTATAGAGTGATTTATAAATAGTAGGATGGGGGGGGGGGGATAATATTCTATCTAGCTCATAGTCATATAAACACAGACTACCCCATGTTTTGTGCATGATTTACACGAGTTCAGTCTTCTCAAGAATAAAGATTTATCTTTGAAGCTAGGGCATGTGATTAAACTGTATTGGTATGGATAGTTTTTCTTTTATTGTGTGAGTTGCAGATCAGATAATTACAAATATTTTTCCGGTAGAAAAACAAACATTATATTTTTATAACTATAGTTTATTAGATATCGAGCTGTTTTCTCTACTTAAAGTATTTCTTGTTGGAAAGTATAATTAATGGTTACTTCTTTCCATCACTTTATTATTGTAATACAACATTTTATGTAAACTTTACTTGTGTATACATTCTGTGTGACATTTCTTAACTCTCAATTATATAATTTGGTGATATTCAAATACAATATAATTAGTTTACTTATGTATCTTCTGGCATTTAATTAATAGAAGTAATACACCTCTTAAATCATAATTATGTATTATTATTAAACAAAGATATTTTGATACATGTTTTAGCCACATTTGTTTGTGTCTTCATCAGGCCTTCCTGTTGGTCAGTACTGCCTGATGAAGACACAAACAAATGTGGTCAAAACATGTATCAAATTATCTTTGTTTTGTAATAATACATAATTATGGTATAAGAGACATGTTACTTTTATTAATCAAATTAATTATCACAAGTGGACAAGATGTGAAGCATAGTGTAATTAAAAATCTGTATATCCACTTTCACAAGTTTGAGAAAAGTAACACATGAAACACTTAAATCTGTGTATCTACTCCGACAGGCTTTAGAAAGTATTTCTACGTTACTGAACTCAAGTAAAATGTTTATCTTTGTACAGCTCTGTGTGATCACTCACTTTCACTGTATGGATGCCTATCCTAAATCAGCCTCTTTGACTAATTAGGTCACTCAGCTGCAATCTGTGGATAGTGAGTTCAAATCCACATTATCAAACATGCTCACAATTTCAGTTGTGGGGTTATTATAATGCGATGGTCAATCCCATAATTTGT